TTTCTTACAGCTAGTATTAAGATCTTGAACCTGTATTTCTTTTGGGTGAACAAGAAGGGCTGTAGGGACATGCCTCAGCTCCTTTTGGCTTTGGAGGTGCCCCTGGAGGTAATGAGGGGCTGGGTGCAATGGGATGTTAATTAACTGAGCAATAAGATGGGGAAGAACCTGGCAGGATTAGGGTCAGGTGGATCATAACCCCAGTCAGGCCTGCATTGTCCTGTCCCAACCACATCTTGTCACATAGGGCAGGTGCCCCTCTGAGTCTCAAAGAGTTTTCAATCTGAAGAGTTTCCATGTCCTTATTCTATACTACCCAGAGCTTACAGATTGGTTTACCTTCCTGGAATGAAGAAATTCTGTGATTCACAGACTTTGGTTGTGAAACTGTCCTTTGTTGGGGGAGGAAATTTGACAAATGAGAGGGAGTAGGGTTTATGGGCTAGGTAAGTGGGTTTAAGTCAGGCTGTTATGGGGGGAGGAGAGGGGTGTTGCAAATGATTAGGTGATGATACAGAAAGGCTATAAATTACAATGGAATTTGTATGCAAATTCCAGGTTCCACTGAGAAAATCAGAAAATGTCCTGACAAGTGCTGTCATTCATGGTCTGTTTATCTTGATTGAGACCCTTGACCCCACCCCATGGTTTTCTGAGTAGCTTTGAAGCCAAGGATCTGCAGGTTGGCAAGAAAAATATGCTAAGGCAGTCTCTGTCCTAACATTCTGGCCCCAGCTTTCCCCTTCAGCATCTGACAGAAAAAGGCCTTTCTGGGCAAATTCAAATATGATTGTGTTGGTTTTCAGTCCTGATGATTTCCTTGGAGACCTTTTCTGAGTATCTTGCCAAGTACACGAAGGGCAGGGAGTGGGAGGGAGACTCCGACGCTGGTTTGAGTGGCTGTTGTTCTGACTTCCGGAAAATTCTCTGTGGACTTTTGGCCACTGTGGGGACTGACAGCTGTCTGCACTCATATATTTCACAAGGAGGATTTTGTTCTGTGCATAACATTTTAATTGAATTTTTAATTTTTGAATAACAGGCATATTGTCCAAAATTAAAAAACAGAAAGATATGTCAGTTTTGAGAAAGCAAGACTCCTTCAGTCTCCTCCTATCAGTTTCTTGAGAATCATTCCATAGATATTCTGTTAATATATAGCATATGCATATGTATTTATTCCTTTTTTTTTTTTAAAGATTTTATTTATGTGTGAGAGAGGGAACGAGAGACAGAGAGCATGAGAGGGAGGAGGGTCAGAGGGAGAAGCAGACCCCCCGCCGAGCAGGGAGCCCGACGCGGGACTCGATCCCGGGACTCCAGGATCATGACCTGAGCCGAAGGCAGTCGCCCAACCAACTGAGCCACCCATGCGCCCCTATTTATTCCTTTTTTAATATAAACGGCAGAATCATATATACTTTCTCTGGAAACTTAGGCCTAATATTTTAAGATTGCCAAAAACCAAAAACAAAGCATGGATACATTTTTTTCATATAATTGACACAAAAAGTAACCATAGGGTTATATGTTAGGGATAAGGCTTAAGGGTGGGGAACAATGTGTGTATGCACTCAGTACAGCCTGCCTGTCTTTTCTAATGACATTTTTTCTATTCTTGTTAAAATTCACATACATGGAAAATTAAAACCTGGGCCTAGGAACACCTGGGTGACTCAGTTGGTTAAGCGGCTGCCTTCAGCTCAGGTCATGATCCCAGGGTCTTGGGATCGAGCCCCGCATCGGGCTCTCTGCTCAGCGGGAAGCCTGCTTCTCCCTCACCCACTCCCCCTGCTTGTGTTCCCTCTGCTTGTGCTCTCTCTGTCAAATAAATAAAATCTTGAAAAAAACAAAAACCTGGGCCTAGAGTGCATTGACTATTTAATAGCTAAATTGGTTTATTCCTGTTAGAAAGTACGTATTTGTTGTAGTGGTTGGTACAAAGTCCTGCTTGATATTTTAGGTGCTGGTGCCAAGGGAGCTGCTATTAGAAAGTCTCTTATGTGGAATTATGTAAGGAGAAATCATTCATTCTGAACTCTGTGAAGAGGAACAGCGTGAGATCCACCTGTGGATTCTTAGAGAGTGGTGCCGAGGTCACTGAACTCTGTTCTTGGTACATTAGAACCAGGGCATTATGCAATGCTCAGAGGCAGAGGAATAAACAAGGTCAAAAGCAGGCATTTATTCCGTAAGAAAAGAAATTATTGCTTGAATTCCTGAAGGACTACATGAGGACTTCTGTGGCTGGGGGTGCACAAGAATGCACAGTGACTGACTGTAGGCAAGCATTTGGAGAATGACACACTGTCCCTTTCTCTTTCTGTCTCATTTCCCCCCCTGGTTAGTTTCATGGCCATTCACATTAAGGAAGGCAGTTACTGGAATTGGGCCTGTTTACAGGAGGAAGCTGTTTTTGTCAGGTTGGAAGGAAGAGAAGAACGTGCACTGCTGTGGGATTTGCTCTGGAGTAAATGGGAAGCATTTCAGAAGCATAGCCAAGAACCCACCCTACTCTTGATGATTCAAGAGTGTCCATTAGTGTGTCCTTGGTGTACAGAGGACTGCTCATTTGTTTAACTCACTTTGTTCCCAAAAGAAGGTAAATACAAAAAAGTCAAGCTTGAGAAGCAAAACTTGATCCTATAGTGCTTCTGTCCTCAAATGGTGTTGTCCTCATATGTGTGGCTCTGTGTCCACATTTCCCTTTTCTTATAGGGCAGCAGTCATGAATTAGGACTGACCCTAATATAGCATATGTTCATCTTAACTTGATTACATCGTTAAAACCCTATTTCCGAATAAGATCACGTTCACAGGTACCAGGGGTTAGGACTTCAACATATCTTTTTAGAGGACACAGTTCAATTCACAACACTCCTTTTTCCATCTCCCTCCTGTACTAGCTTCTTACCATATCTCCCTGTTTCCAGGGTCTCCCCTCTGACCTAGCCACCATATCAATAATTATCTTTCTATAATGTAGGAAAGATCATATTATTCATTACTCTATTATTCCCAAAGGTTAAACTCTTGATTTGACAGATAAAGCCCTTCACAGACCATTCTCATTTGGGAGCTAGACCTTTTTTCCTCATGACATAATATGGAACAGGGATCCGTCTTGCACAAGATCTTAATTGGAGTTGGCCTTGTTGAATTGTGTGCCTACCAGAAACTGCTAGTCAATCCCAGCTGGTAATGGGTTCTCAATCAACCTCTCAGAAGGACGCTTTGGGAAGTGATTGGGTTTCTTGCACGATTGCTCCTAAGGATGCCGCACTTGCATATCTCCTCAGATACTGGTTTATTGAACTTTCACTTACATTTCCTAAACTTTCAATGGAAGAAGGTAAGATTGTCTGTCAAAAGGCAGTTGGATGACATTTACTCATGAAACTGATACTTACAAAACTGTCTTATCTTTCCTTAACCTAGTCTGGCAAAATGACACATCTCTTGTGAACTTATTTCTTGTGAAAGCATATGGAGTGGGAAGGTGGGATGGAGGGTAAAAGTGTTTTCTTTGAGGATAAAGAAGGATTAACGAGAGTAGTATTTACATAGAGTTCAGTAGGATTAAAACAAAGTGAAGCATCCTCTTAGCTAGTTTGCCATTTTAGAGACTGCTGTATATAGATTTTTCTCTGATATAGTAACAATAAAATCAGGCAATTCTAAGATTTAAGTGACTGAATCCCTGAGAAGATCGTAAAGGAGCCAGACATTTGACCAAGTAGTTAAATTTTTAGCAGAATGATGTATCTTTATGCAGAAGGGCAGAGAAAGAACCATGTAAGGTCATTTGATCTAGAAACTGTCTTTCAGTGTAAGTGCCATACCTGTAGTGGCCCAGCGGGGAAAGTGTAGGATCTGGAATTAGACAGACTGGGTTGTAACCATTCAATGTGAAGCCATGTAGCCTCAGGCAAGTGATCTGTGCATGCCTCAGATTCCTGAGCTGCATGAAAAGCATTTGGTACAATTCCTGGCCAAGAGTAATGCTCAGAAGTCAGAGTTTGTTGTTATTATATGAATGACCTCAAATAGGTCATTTGGTCACCTGCATCCAAGAACTTTTATTATTCCTTCTTAATTATCAAAGAATCCTAATGGGAATGCTGGTTAAAACTGCATCTTTTAGGGGCGCCTGGGTGGCTCAGTCGTTAAGCGTCTGCCTTCGGCTCAGGTCATGATCCCAGGGTCCTGGGGTCGAGCCCCGCATCGGGCTCCCCGCTCTGCGGGAAGCCTGCTTCTCCCTCTCCCACTACCCCTGCTTGTGTTCCCTCTCTCGCTGTATCTCTCTCTGTCAAATAAATAAAATCTTTAAAAAAAAAAAAGAAAACTGCATCTTTTATTACAACTGATACTTTATACTGTTGGGTGAAGGCCTTTTTGTAAGTAGTCTTTTAAGTGACACAAAGGAAAAAACATCAGAGTTAGTAGAGGAGTTTTAGAGAAAAATATAGGTCATGTATTAAGACTTATACCAATATTGGTATAAGGCAATTTAAAAGGGAAAACAATATTTTAATAAGAGAAAGCAGAATTTTAAAAAATATTTTATTTATTTATTTGAGGGGGGGCGGGGAAGGAGTAGAGGGAAAGGGACAAGCAGAAGCTGTGCTGAGCAAGAGTCCAACACTTAAACTGACTGAGCCACCAAGGCACACCAAGAAAGCAGAATTATTTGGTGTAAACACCACAGAAATGTAAAGGGAACAGAAGACTCTCAGAATGAGGCAAGTATTATAATTGGGCAATTCTAACAAAGCCAAAAAAAAATTACGAGGAACCAAACTGGAGGGTAATTGAGTGTTGCTTCGGGATTTTTGAGTTTTCTGCATACAGTACTTAGTATTGCTGGGGGATTGATTCTTATATTTTCATATAGCTGTTTTCATATATATAGTCAAAGAAAACAAAGGTCTTAAACTATAATTGGAACTCTCTTTTGAGATGTTTTCTGTCTGTAATATTTCTCTCTTTCTTATAATCAGGTGAAAATGAAATCCTTACAACTCTGCATGCCATTTCCAGCAAAAACCAGATCTGGAGATCGTATATGGGCATGGGCTATTATAACTGCTTCGTGCCACAGACGATTTTACGGAATTTACTGGAGAATGCAGGATGGTAATGTATTATTAGATTGAAAACAAGAGTACTATGTTTTGATTTGCATGATTCTCCCAGTTTCCCCACACCTCCTTACCCCTTGGAGTGTCAGAACTTATACACTGACATCTACACTCCTGTGTTGTCTCTAACCTCCAAGGACCTACTTGGTTTTCTCTGGCTTGGGAAATTTCCTTACTCAAATGTAGAGGAAATATAGAGTTTCTTTCCACTTTTATTCCCATAAAAAATTTTAGAGCTCTAAAATGTGGATGCTGGTAATCTCGTCCTCTCTAATTTAATGTCTGTTCTGTCTTTGTAAGCATATTGAGCAAGATGTCAACTTGTAGGTGGGCAGATTCAGGGCTTTATTCTTTGGAGACACTGGGATTTTAAGGCTATGTCTTTTTTTTTTTTTAAGATTATGTCTGAGCTTACTCAGTGAGTCAGAATCTTAGTCCATTATCTTCTCAGGATTTTAAGAGTATCCTTTATCACCACCCCCCCCCATATTCTGTACATGACCAATTGAAAAAGCAGATGTAGTAGCAGGTAAATGGAGATTAAAATATCCGGTTTATTACTTAGCACTTTGTAGAGAAAGAGAACATATGTATTCTGTGAACAGGCTCTTCTAGAAGCAGCAAAAGAAAGGGCTGAGCCGCACATCCTCAGGTGTGTGATCTGTTCTCATCCCACATCTCATATGTACAGTAGTTGGCTGTATGACAGAAAGAACAAAACAGAGGTTCACATCTCAACACCTTGGATATTTTTGTCAGGGAGAAGTCCTGGCTCCAAAGACCAGCCCATCTGCTTCTCTGGCCATTGGGAAATATTGTCTGACTGTAGAGGAGGAAAGATGGGGATTCCTGGGCCTTTCTTTTCCTTGTTTTTGGATCAGCATCACTGTATACACCAGCATCTTTAAATTGAAACTTTATTTCAATTGAGAACTTAGTCTCAAAAGGAATGTGTGCACTTATTTCTAGCATAGAAATGGAGTGGGGAGGCAATAATTCCTAGATGACTTTTTTCTTTCAGTTAGTTGGTGTAAGAAATAACCATTTTAACTATGCAAGCATGTATGACAAGTATGCAGAGTCCATTTATTTGGTCCATAAATACAGTATAGTAGTATTTGAGTTTTACAAAACATCAAGTATTATAAATAACCTGAAACTATAACAATTCGTAAAAATTAGCATCTTACACGGATATCCCAGGCGGTGTAAGCTGGAAAGTTGAGTAAATTAACATTGTTTTACATTAATATACACAGTGCCACTTAATATTTATTTATTTATTCAAGATTTTATTTATTTTAGAGATAGAAAGTGTGAATGGGGGAGGGGCAGAGGGAGAGAGAACCGCAAGCAGACTCCACACTGAGCACAGAGCCCGACATGGGCTTGATCCCAGGACCTGAGATCATTCCTTGACCCGAAATCTAGAGTCGGACGCTCACCCAGCTGAACCACCCAGACACCGCAGTGCAAGTTAACATTTAAAAAACAAGTTTCAATGCATAGCACTTGATATAAGGAGTAACTTTAATTTCTAGTACAACCAATATTATGTGAGGACAGAATAAGCAATTGCCTCTGTAATTCAAAGGTATTTAGAGTAAGATGTAAAGATTGTCTTTCAGGTTAGCATATATAAAAAAATCAACATAGTAAAGGGAAGGTAGGCTTCTCTATGGGAAATCATAAATTGCCCCCACATGAGCTTTTGAAATACCCAAGTACATCCTCCACTGCAATAAATCTTAAAAAATTGCTGAACACTTTGCATCTTTTGTAAAATATTTTATTTAATAAATTTTGTTAGATTTAACTTGAGTTCTCAGTGATCAGAATTCTTAGAAATAATTGCCTTATATAAGAGGCTCTCCACCTACCATCATAAGACAGACTATTGAGACATCCATTAGTCCATTTTTTTACCTTAAAAACAGAAAATAGGAAAGTACCTGTGCAAAAAACTCAAAGCTGCCAAAAAATTTTACTGTTTTGTTGTAGTCAACACCTAAAGATAGGGCCCTCTCAGCCTCTGTGCAGGGTGGGAGCCTAACTTCTATGAGCACCAGTTAGCAAACCCAGATGAATTTTTTTTTTAATTAATTGGTTTTTTTTTTTAAGATTTTATTTATTTATTTGAGAGAGAGAATGAGAGACAGAGAGCATGAGAGGGAGGAGCATCAGAGGGAGAAGCAGACTCCCTGCCGAGCAGAGAGCCTGATGCGGGACTCGATCCCGGGACTCCAGGATCATGACCTGAGCCGAAGGCAGTCGCTTAACCAACTGAGCCACCCAGGCGCCCCTAAACCCAGATGAATTTTACACTCCTTCCTGATTTTTGTAATTTTTCATTTCCCTGATTCCACTGAGCTCCTGCTTATGCCCTCCCTGCTCCCTCATTCTCTCCTTAAAACATCAAGCCATCTCTAATACACACACACACACACACACACACACTAATATGCAGACTCATCTAGGAATATGAACTTTTTGACAGTTTTGGCATTTTTTAAAAAGATTTTATTTATTTGAGAGAGAGAGAGTACAAGAGGGAGGGGAGGAGCAGAGGGAGAAGCAGACTCCCCGCTGAGCAAGGAGCCTGACGTGGGGCTCGATCCCAGGACCCTGAGATCATGACCTGAGCCGAAGGCAGACGCTTAACCGACTGAGCCACCCAGGCGCCCTCAGTTTTGGCATTTTGAAAAGTAAACCTGATACCCTATTTAATCTCAAACTTTGCACAAAGTGTTCTTAGTACAGGAATAAACCCACTGTGGCGACTATGACATGTGAACTTATATTCACTTACCATCATACCACCCACAAGCATAACTGGTTTCTGTGCATTTGAGTCTGTGAGGAGTTGATGTGTTTGGCCATCAGTTCAGACCGTCGTCATCTGCTGCCTCAAGTCCAGACCTGTAGTTCTGACGCACAAAGCATTTGTCTAAGGTAGGGCGGTGGTCAGCCTGGATGGATGGGAAGCAAAACAGTCCTGGTTGACCAGAGTGCCTTGTCCTGGATGAAGTTGCTCATGTCCCATCATTACAGGAGCCAGATCTGTTGGCCTGATCACTCCTGCCTTGCCATCCCTGGCCAGAGCTTTTAGTTTCAGTATGCTTCATTTCTTCATCAGTAAGAGAAAGGAAAGAACCATCAAAGAACTAGTTTTTTTGCTTTGGGTGTGTGTGCGAATATATTTGCATTGCTGAGGCTTCTTTCCCACTGTGGTACTGATAAAAGTTTGCATGGTTGAACTCCAAGTTTGATTTCAAAAGGGAATGGCCTTTCTCCTTACAAAATAAGCCTCAAAAGTACATGAATGAGCTGCAGCATTTTAGCTGTCGGAATATTGGCCTGTGGCCTTCACTCTTGGTGGCCATAGAGAATATTCACCGTATTGCTTCCTGGCTGTGAGTGGATGTGTTAATTTACTTTAGGAGCTGCCAGCATTTTGAGAGGAAGACAATGTTGTTTTTGCTTTTCAGTCCTGGTTTTTGGGAGCATTTTAAATATTGCTCCTTTCCATTCACTGAAAGTTGATTTGAACCAGAGGGTAATACTGTACCTCACCAGCACTGATAGGGAGGACTGTGCACATGAGGGTGAGGAGATTTCACAGTATCACCCTTCTGTTCTGAATGGTTTCCATAGAGATGGCACCAACAAATTCCGGTGACGTGAGGTGAAAATAAATGGACAACATAGCTTCAAAAGAATACAAACATTTGGGCTCTTACAAGAAAACTTGCATCAGGTCCAGAATTTTATTTTATGGGGCCCACTGTTAACAAAACTTTGACTGCTGATAGCATCAGTATTTAATATAAAAGGACTTAACATTTTCTTTGTGGCTATTTCTGTTTTGTGTAACTTTGGCACTGGGATTAAAATGAGAGAATCTTATGAATGTTTGTCCTACTGCAATACCTCATTCTTTCTCAATCTCACAAGAAAGTCACAGCCCAAAAGTCATAGAAAATACTGATTATTTTGGGATAAATGTTAATGCCATGTTGAAGATATCAAGCATCCTGTTTGAGCCTGACAAAATGCCTTCTTGGATGTACAGATGCTTTAAAAATATATTAAAATATATCTATAAATAGAAATGAGTTAAATAGTTGAAATATAGAAAATGTAGGGGTGCCTGGCTGGCTTAGTTGGTAGAGCATGTGACTCTTGGTCTTGGCACTGAGATTTTGAGCCCCATGTTGGATGTAGAGATTATTTAAAAATAAAATCTTTTTTTAAAAAAAGAAATACAGAAAATGTAGATCACAGAAACACTTTCTTAATCACCACATTTTGCCTAATTGAGTCAACTAAACCTTTGCATACATGACAGCAGGCCCTCTGTTAGCATTTTTCTCCTGAAATGAGGGTTTGTTAGTGTCCTTGGGCTTCAGACTCACTGGCTGGAGTTTTTTAATAGAGGCTTGTTAAGACCTTTAATACCTGATATTTTAGTGGTGTAGAAAATGGGTAGACTATAAGTAAAAGAAGTGGGATCATATGTTTATTTTTGCAAGAAAACAATTACAAAACTCTCTACCTTTAGAAAGGCTAATCAGCATCAGACTAACTTTGGGCTTATGAAAGTGTTGAGTAAGGTGAGAAAGGTTGGTGAGGGAAGGGAGTATTAAATCTCAAAGTCTGTTATCAAAGGAACAGTGCAGTCTCAGGTATGGAGGACTGTGCTTGGGAGGTTTGGGTTTTTTCCTGTAGGTAATGGGGAGCCATCTCCATTTAAGCAGGGAAGTCAAATACTACACACTTCTGCACCACAGATATTCAGTAAGTTCCTATTTTAAGCACAGCATTAGGGCAGTAAGGCAACAAAGATGAAGGGGTGGATATGGGACATTGGAAGGAAGACTAATGGGAATTGATCATGATTTGGGCTCAAAAGACCTGCAGTTTCTACTTTGAGAATTGGCACAGCATTGAAGGAATAAGAATTTTTAGGAAGAGAAACTAGTTTGTTTGGGGATCTAGTTGGAGGAAGAATAGGCAGTGTGAAGCTGACATGAGATGTGATAAATTTTCAGAAAAAAACCCTTTCCAAATACAAATATCTAATAATATCTGAACAGAACTACGAGTGAATCCTCTTAAAGATCAAAACAGAGGGGGAAAAAAACCTTTTTAAGACAACGAATATTTGGGCAGGATTTTACCGTTCCACATGCTTTGTATATATTAACCTCCTTTGAGTGCTAAGAACCTATGATATAGGTGATGTTATCTTCATTGATCACCAGGAGAAATTGGAAGAGAGAGATTTAGTTACTTGTCCCAATTCACAGGTAGTACATTAAAGAATTAAGGTTGAAACCCAGGGCTTCTTAGTACTAGTATCATGATAATGCAGGGAAATCTGTGAATCACTATACTACTTAAGAGAGTTACGTATAGGGTATGATATTTCTGGAGAGGAACATGGCAATATCTGAGAACCTTAAAATTAATTATCATATACAATTCAGAATTCCACTTCCAGGAATTTATCTGAAGGAAATAAGACAAAGAGAAGGCTGTTCACTGTTACACTAGTTCTGATATTTAAAACCAAAAGTAATATTTAATTTGAGGGGACTTAAATAAATTATGGTAAATAAGATGATTTAATGCCACATAACAATTAAAATTATGTTGTGGAACAGTATTAAAGTTATTAGAAATTGTCCATGGCATAATGTTAAGAAATAAAATCAGGGCAGAAGACTTTACATAGAGTATAATCTTATTTTAAATATAAATATGATTATGATATAGAAAAGAGTAAATTAATTACCTATTGTGGTAATCATCTAACAAAATATGTATATCAAATCATATCATTTATTTTATTTTATTTATCTTATTTTATTAAGTAGACTCCACACCCAATTGAACACACTACCCTAAAATTAAGTCGGATGCTCTACTGACGAGCCACCCAGGTGCCCTTGTACACTTTAAATATATATTGTTTTGTTGATTATCTCAATAAAGTTGGAGAAAAAAAGGATCTTAAAGAAAAGTCACAAATCAGCAAGTGGCAGACAGCACAACAGAAAGATGGGCAGGATAGTTGAGTGTGTCTTTCACAAAAGAAAAAAAAAAAACATTGAAAAGAAAGCATGTAAATGGTAACTGTTGTTATCTTGGAGTTTTGGGATAATAGGTGATTTTATTGTCTCCACAGCTACCTGAGTTTTCTAACTTTTTACAATAAACAGGTGTAAGATAATCAGAAAAAGGTTGTAAATAAGTTCCTGACGCAGAAAATGGTTAATAAATGGTAGCTGAGGTCTTTTACATTCAGAATACAATAAAAAGAAAGTAAAAATTACTTTTAATCTTACCACCCAGAGAAAAAACACTGTTTACACTTTGGTTCATTTGTTTTTACAAATTTACAAAAATGGGATCATGGTATTTGGCACTGTACATTTTAAATATATATCAGGAGCATCTCCATGTCAGAAATTATTCTTTTATACATCATTTTCAATAAATGTGTAGTATTATGTATGCATAGTGTCTATTTAATTGTTTTCTTTTCGATGGACACTTAGTTTTGTTGCTCTTCTATTGTTGTTACTAATTTTTCAATATTCCAGGCTGTGATGAATTCTCTGGAATATTGCTCTCTCTATTCCTATTGTATTTTCTGTGTCTATGGGTATACTGAATCTTTCCCATTTATTGGATGGACTAGCTAATATGTGTATGCTCGGGTGTGTGCATGAGCAAGTTTGTGTGTCTGTCTATATGTAAAATAATGACTCTGAGTAAAATGAAAGCTTCATGTTAGCCAGGCAATCTAAGCATGTCTTTGTGGTGTCAGGCTATGCTGTGTGTGAAAGTCTTATCTGATGTGAGGTCACAATTACTCCTTGTCTTTGCCTTTTGTATGACCCCAATTCTACTCGGATTCCTTTTCTACTTTGCCTACAACATGTATTGTGTGCCTCATTCATTCCAGTTCACCACCCACTTAGAATTTGGCAAACTGATTTACAGTTGCTAAGCCAGGCTGTTCAAGGAGTTAACTGAAGCAAAAATGTACTCTGCTGTACACACACACAACTATGCCAATAAAAGTTTCGGGAAGACTATTTCAAAGTCTTGACATTTTACTGCTTGGTAAGGCAAGTTTCCCCACCCACTCCCCCTCAAATATATGAAGTATTAATTTCAAAGCCTTCAAAAAGGAAAGAGAAAGGATAGAAATATCCTGCACATGATTACCAGAGCAAGACAGAAAGGGATAAGGCTTGAAAAAAAAAGCCTAAATTTTTTCCTAATACTTTTCTGGCTTAGAAGAACAAAAACAATAGAATTATGAAACCATGTCAATCACGTGTGGGAGCATGGACCCCAGTCTGACCCATTTTGGTAGAGTGAATGGATTCTTGGTGAAAAGATAGCAGCTGTGTCACAAGTCCTCTATTATACCACCTGATTTTATTTTCTTTAAAATATTTATCACTCTGAAATGATTTCATTTATTTATTGTCTCTTTTTCCCCATTACAGTATACTCTTGAGATCAGGGACTGTTATCCATTTGCTTATGATGTATCGTCAGCAGAACCTATCCTAGTTCTTGTCACTTACAGGCATGCAGTAATATTTGTAGGATGAGTGAATGAAGGAATGAAAAAAAAGTATGAAGGCACTAACTGTGTTAACTCAAATACCTAAAGAAATATTTGTGGCTAATAACTAGAGGATATAATATTAAAACTCATGTCTATACTGCCTTCTAACCATTTATATCCTTGAATTTTGAGTTAACTTTTGCAGACTCTTAATAACTGAATAGTCAGGATTCTTTTTTTTTTAAGATTTTATTTATTCATTTGACAGAGAGCACACAAATGGGGAGCATCAGGCAGAGGGAGAGGGAGAAGCAGGCTTCCCCCCGAGTGGGGAGCCCGATGCGGGGCTCAATCCCAGGACCCTGGGATCATACCTGAGCTGAAGGCTGACTCTTAACCGACTGAGCCACCCAGGTGCCCCTGAATAGTCAAGATTCTTAAATAGACCTCTGTTAATTTCCTAGGAGTACATAGAATTCCTCCTGCTTAGTATTAAACAAAGATCCCCATAAAACAACAGTTTGAGTATTAGATAGTAGATTCTTAGATGCTTTCCTGTTGTGGACTGTGATTGAGATAGGTTTTTAGCTAGCAGAAAGATAACAGGAAGTAAAATTTCTGTTTATATTACCATAGGTAAGCTCAAGTGGATTTTAAGAACCAGCTTACAATAAAACACATATGATAAGGTTATTAAAATAGAAATGTAAGATTAAGAAGTACCTTAAAGAGATAGAAAGAAACATAAGTACTGAATATGCCCAAACAAAAGATAATATTGTTACTGTGATTTAAGTCTGAGCTTCCTTACTGATATATAATTCTCAAGGGAAGCTGACTGATCCACAGTTCTCAAAGAACACAAAAACTTAAATTTCAATTACTGAATTCCAAAGTGAAGACATTTTGTACACTTTTCTGAATAGTGGAGTCACAGTTTGGACATGGCCTTTTGTGTCTTTCATAGGATCACCCAGTATACTCCATACCAGCCAGAAGTGTCTCAGGGGAGACTGGAGAGTTTACTAAACTACCAGACCATGGTGTGCGACATCACAGGCATGGACATGGCCAACGCGTCCCTGCTGGATGAGGCCACAGCGGCCGCAGAGGCGATGCAGCTGTGCCACAGGTGAGAGGCCCACAGGGCGAGGGACATCCTCCAGTATCTCCCGCTGTGCGGGCGGGACTAGCCCTTCAGTGCCCTGTAACTCACCTCTTCTCACACGCACACGCACACACGCGCGCGCGCACACAGTAGCATTATACCAGTCAGCTGAGAGAACAAAAAAATCTGAAAAAATAGTGGCTTTTAAAGCCACTGTTGTTTACCATTTAACATTACATAAGAAAAACATTTGGCTCTCCTCATCCATAGTGTTAAGTTCAGGGATGTTACAGGAGCTCTGAGATAGTATCAGGTTCCTCTCTTTCTGTGCCATCTTCAGTGTGAGGCCTTTGTCCTCATGGTCGCAAGATGACTGCTGGGGCTTTAACTATGACCTCTGCACCCATGAAGAAGGACAGGGGCAAGGGTGCTGCTAGCTAATTAAGTCCTCTTGAAAGAGTTTTTTGGCAACTTGCACTCAGCAACTTTATGCTTCATTGACCACCCATACCTACAAATGACCTGGGGAAATGCAGTTTTTATTAGATGGGCACACTGCTGTGCCCTACGTATTAGGGTTCTATTACTATTGGTAAAGGGGAGAATGGATATTGGGTAAGAACTGGCAGTCTGTACTGTAATACACAAATGCCATCTTTCATGAAGCATATTGTTTTAGGTTGTATTTAAATGTTTTAGACCTTGTTTTCTTGTATTTAACAATATATTGTGAGAAGATTTGCCTTAGTCAGCTTTCTAGGACATGGCTTTTATTGACTACCTGGTAGTACTCACTTGCACGAAAGTACCCCAATTTATGTAACTTCACCTCTATTGTTATACATTCACCTTGATACCATCTTTTCCTGTTACAGATGCTATTGTTTTACATCTTTAGAATCAATTTTGTCAAAAGTTCTGATGATTTCCTGAGGATGCATTTCTAGAAGTAGAATTGCTGGGTCATGGTATATAGTTAACAATTGCTCTCCAGTTCCCCATTTTCCTTTGTTCTTGGCCTTGTGAGTACTTTTGAGCTTACCTTCCTAGTAGGGTTCACATGTAGATGTCATCTGGTTGGGAAATCCGCCCATATTCACGGTGTGTCTGTGAGGTTTTGTGCCTCTGGCTCTGAATGCCCATGTAACTCTCTTTTTTGGCTTCCAGATACTTAGGGATGGTTAAATTGGTTCTGGTACCAAGTCCAATGTGTGCATCGAGGTTTTCCCCACACCAACAAATAATTCTTTAACAGCAGCAGGATGTCCAAGACTTCAACTCAATTCTGACACAATCTATCTGGAGATAGCATCAGATTCCAGGGGTTGAGGGTTCAGTCTTACGAGACTGCCCTGCCCCCCTGACTCACTTCACCACACCCCACTTCATATGTCAGTGGCGAGCCCACGTTATTTCCTTTGCTTCTGCATGCCTGGCTATAAACCAGATGTTTCCAGGACACCCTCCTCAAGTTCATTTAATTTGCTAGAGCAACTCACAGAACTCAGAAACATTACTTACTAGATCACTGGTTTATTATTAAAGGAAAAAACAAGAATAGCCAAATGGGAGTGATACATAAGGCAAGGTATGTGGGAAAGGCGTGGAGCATCCATGCTCTCTTAGCTACACCATTCGCCTCCAATCTCCACCCATTCATCGACCCGAAGTTCTCCAAATGCCGTCCATTATGGTTTTTTATGGAGGCTTCATTACATAGGCAAAATTGATTAAATCATTGGCAATTGGCTGTTGGTTTTTTTTTTTTAAATATTTATTTATTGACAGAAAGAGATAGCGAGAGAAGGAACACAAGCAGGGGGAGAGGGAGAGGGAGAAGCAGGCTTCCCGTGGAGCAGGGAGCCCGATGCGGGGCTCGATCCCAGGACCCTGGGATCATGACCTGAGCCAAAGGCAGACGCTTAACGACTGAGCCACCCAGGCGCCCATTGGCTGTTGGTTTGACCTCCAACCCCTCTTCCTTCTGAGGTTGGGAGGTGGGACTAAAAGTTCCAGCCCTCTAATCACAGGGTTGGCTCCTCTGGCAACCAAACCGCATTCATGGACATTCTCCAAAAGTCACCTAATTAACATAAAAAAAGACATCTTTACATTCTCCACAGTTAGGAAGTTTGGGGAGCTACGAGCCAAGAACTGTGGAGGAAGACTAAATATAAATGAAAATATGAAATATTTTGATATTGATATATTAAAAATTTGGTCATGACCAAATATATATTTCTTATAAATCACAACATTGCCGTAGTGAACCCCAAACCTCCTTAGCAGGTATGAAAACCTCTAAATTTCCAGCCACAGGTTATTCTGCTTCCCAAGCAGCCTTAGAGGTGGGCTTAGGCTCTTCCTCCTGATCCTGGGTAGACAGCCAGAAAGGAATGCTTCTCTATTCTCAGCTTTTCACATTTTCATCTTATCTCATCCTTATCCACCTTCTTGCTGCTTTCTCATCTCCCTCTGCCTCTCTTTCTTAAGAGCTTCCATTTCACACTTGGAGAAGCTGAGGCCTTTCTGGTTGATGGTTCGGGGATTTGGTCCTGAACTGATTTGAGTTAATGAGCTATAGCTCTGCAAATGCTTGATTTGCTCTGCAAATGCTAAATCTACTTCCTCTCTCTTAATTCTCATATCTTCAGGCCTGCATTTAATTTGAAAAGCAGCCTTGTGGTTTTTATCTTTGGAAAGATAAATAAAATAATAATAAAAATTAAAATAGCAGTGTTTTTGTTTCCATCTTAGGTCGTTTAGGCTCAGATGGCTCTTTTCTCCCAATTTATTTAGATTCACACTGTGAAGAGCATTGTGCTTTGGATAATTAATAGCTTTTTTTATCTATACAACTCTACCTAATCCTCTATTAAATTTATGTTTATTATAAAAATACCTGTTCAGAGTGGGAAAAATATGCAAACAGTAGAAAACATAATGAAGTGAACATACTGTTTCTCAGTCCTGTTCCATTGAGAAAGCTGTTGTTAATTGTGTATCTTTCTGGGAAATTAAATGCATAGCACAATGTACATGTGTTCCCCACCCTTTTTACCCAGATGTGCTCATGATACATGCACTGTTATGTATCCTGTTAAAAAACAAAATTCAACCAAGCATATTTGAAGATCTAATTGGCTTTATTATTAAATGATTCATAAATTGGGCAGCATTCTATCTAGCAGGTAGAAAGTCTCCCTGAGGAGTTGTACAAAATGAAAGGTTTTTTTATAGGAAGGAAGGTGGGGCAAGAATGTGATAAGCAAAAGAAAAGAAAGATTTGTTTCAGGCAAGATCACCTTCCCTTAGGGGGAATGACAGGGGGTCTTATTATACAGATGACCTCTTCTAGCCTTTGGTGGATGGAGAAAGCTCATGTGACAGATCACCTCCTTTGTGCTTATCGGAAAATTCCTGACTCACAGGTTAAGACTACATTTCTGGAGGAGGTTGAAACCGCAATTAGCTTAGGTATTAAGCCCTGGTTTGGTGACTGGGCACGGCCCAAGAAACACCATTTTGGGCCTATGGTTTTCTTTTTAACAATCTCCATCAGTTTCGTTTCCTGAAATCAGGAACTTTTAGAAAACTCCCAGCATTTAGGTCCTTCAGTAGCTGTGTGGTCCTGCCCATGTCACTTCTCTGAGTCCTTTTCATCCTCTGTCGAATGAGGACATTTGGCTTAGATAAGCTTCTTTGGCAGTAAAATTCTCAGATGTTTTTTATTTCAAGAGTTAGTTTTTAATTCTACTTGTACCCCATCACTATCCTGTTTTTATTTCTTTTAACTTAGCATATTTAAAATAAATTTAAGCCGGTTTAAGATTGATTTTGCTAAATGGGGTTGGAATGGTGTTTTTTTTTTTTTTAAAAAAAACACCCAAATTCAGCTGAGTAAATTTGAAGATCTAATTGGCTTTATTCAATGATTCATGAATCGGACAGCATCCCCTCTAGCAAATAAAGGAGCGACAAAGGGCTACAGAAAGGGAAAGGATTTTTTTTTAACATCTGATTTAATTTTATTTTTTTCAAGTTTCTATTTAAATTCCAGTTAGTTAAGATACAATGTAATATTAGTTTCAGGTGTGAAATTTAGTAATTCATCACTTACATACAATACCCAGTGCTCATCACAAGTGCCCTCCTTAATACCCATCATCTATTTAGCCCATTCTCCACCCACCGCTCCTCCAGCAACCCTCAGTTTGTTCTCTGTGGTTTGGAGTCTGTTTCTTGGTTTACTTCCCTTTTTTTTTTTCTCCTACGTTCATCTGTTTTGTTTCTTAAATTCCACATATGAGTGAAATCATATGGTATTTGTCTTTTGCTGAGTGACTTATTTGGCTTAGCATAATACTCCCTAGCTTTAGTCACATCATTGCAAATGGCAAGATTTCATTCTTTTTTTTTAAATTTAATTTAATTTAATTTTTTAAAGATTTTATTTATCAGAGAGAGAGAGAGAGAGAGAGAGCACAGTCGGGATCAGCAGACAGAGGGAGAGGGAGAAGCAGGCTCCTCACTGAGCAAGGAGCCCCATGTGGGACTCGATCCCAGGACCCTGGGATCATGACCTGAGCTGAAGGCAGACGCTTAACCGGCTGAACCACCCAGGCGTCCCAAGATTTCATTCTTTTTTATGGCTGAGTAATATTCCAGTGTGTGTGTGTGTGTGTGTGTGTGTGTGTGTGTGTGTGTATACAGATCACATCTTCTTTATCCATTCATCAGGCAATGGACAATTGAGCTGTTTCCAATTGTTTTCCAACAATTGGCTATTGTTGATAATGCTGCTGTAAACATTGGGGTGCGTGTACCCTTTGAACCAGTATTTTTGTATCCTTTGGGTAAATACCTAGTAATGCAATTGCTGGATTATAGGTTAGTTCTATTTTTAAATTTTTGAAGAACCTCCATGCTGTTTTCCAGAATGTCTGCACCAGTTCGCATTCCCACCAACAGTGCAAGAGCGTTCCTCTTTCTCCACATGCTTGCCAAGACCTGTTGTTTCCTGTGTTGTTGATTTTAGCCATTCTGACAGGTGTGAGATAATATCTTTTTACAGTTTTGATTTGTATTTCTCTGATGATGAGTGATGTTGAGCATCTTTTCATGTGTCTGTTGGCCACCTGGATGTCTTCTTTGGAAAAATGTCTATTCATGTCTTCTGCCCATTTTTTAACTGGAATATTTGCTTTTGGGGTGTTGAGTTTTATAAGTTCTTTATATATTTTGGATGCTAACCCTTTATCAGAGCATTTGCAAATGTCTTCTCCCATTCAGTAGATTGCCTTTTAGTTTTGTTGATTGTTTCCTTAGCTGTGCAGAGGCTTTTTATCTTGATGAAGTTCCAGTAGTTCATTTTTGCTTTTGTTTCCCTTGCCTCAGTTGACATATCTAGTAAGAAGTTGCTTTGGCCAATGTCAAAGAGGTTACTGCCTGTGTTCTTCTCTAGGATTTTTGTGGTTTCATGTCTCATATTTAGGCCTGTCATCCATTCCGAACTTATTTTTGTGTATGGTATAAGAAAGTGGTCCAGTTTCATTCTTTTACATGTTGCTGTCCAATGTGAAAGGGAAAGGTTTTTATTTTATTTTATTTTTTATTTTTTTAAGGATTTTATTTATTTGAGAGAGAGAGAGAATGAGAGAGAGAGAGAGCATGAGGGGGGGAGGGTCAGAGGGAGAAGAAGACTCCCCACTGAGCAGGGAGCCCAATGTGGGACTCGATCCCAGGACTCCAGGATCATGACCTGAGCCGAAGGCCGTTGCTTAACCAACTGAGCCACCCAGGCACCCTATTTTTTATTTTTTTAAGATTTTCTTTATTTGAGAGACAGAGGGAGAGAGCATGAGCAAGGTGAGGGACAGAGGGAGAAGGAGAAGTAGACTCCCCACTGAGCAGAGAGCCCAGCTGTGGGGCTTGATCCCAGGACTCTGGGATCATGACCTGAACCGAAGGCAGCCTCTGAAAGGGAAAGGTTTTTAAAGGGGGTGTCAAGGAAGTCATAAACAAACAAAAAAGGGATTATTTAGAGCAAGGTCACTTTCCTTTGGGGGACAAAAAGAGTCTTATTAGGTGAATTACCTCATTGGTGCTTACCAGGAAATTCTAGACTGACCAGTTAAGATTATATTACTGGGGAAGGTTGAAACTATAATCAGGTATGTATGAAGCCCCAGTTTGGTGACATGAACCTAGCACAAGTGACTCCATTTTGGGCCTATGGTTTTCTTTTCAAGAACGGAAATTGGATTTCAGTAGAATTCTGCTCAGTAGAATTAAGGACTCATTTTTTACATTGTGCTCAGAGTTTCCCTAAGTACCACCTTTGCTTTGCATTCTTAGAAGATACTTTGATTTCTTTAATGTTCATGTTTGAATGTGATTTTCCTTTTCAACAGGCACAACAAGAGGAAGAGATTTTTTGTTGACCCGCGTTGCCACCCACAGACAATAGCTGTCGTCCAGACTCGAGCCAAGTAATTAATTTCATTCATATTTTGAACTCAGGGATAATATATATCATGCTCATCACCGTTGCTTCTCTCTCTTACTTCCAAACTGGTTGGAGGTGAATCTGGTTTAAATTGAGGTTGTTCAGTTTCGCTTTCCTTCCCACTTTCTTCCTGAGATCTTGCCTAGTAAGTAAAATGTGTCAGAATTGAGAGAATACAGAAGTGGCCTTAGTTGCCTTTGCTTTATATTGAGTAACCATGTTGTTTGTTTGTTTGTTTGTTTTAATTAAAAATATTAAAATAATTTCAGCAATGTTTTGGAAGGCTTGAGAAGTAGAGGGAAAAATGGAATTCTCACACAGTTGTTAGAGTTTAGTGTGTGCAACTGCAAACATAGTTTATAAAGGATCCATATAAAGCCTAGGTGTGGTATGATATAGACGAAAGCAAGCGTACTGTATTTGTTTAGTGCTGTAATCAGATAAAAACAGCACAGCTATCACCTGCCAGTGTGTCTGTTTGCTCTCTTCTTGTAAGAACGGGGCAATATTCCCCAACCCCATACCACCATCCCTTCAGAAGGGGTATTCTCACATAGAATTGGAACTGGGTGGTTAAGAAAGGTCTTTCTCTTTGTCTTATTGATGGTTTTCCATTCACCTAAAACTGATCTCAGGTGAAAGTGGTGACTGCTCTGTAGTTGTAGGAATTGGTTCTTTAGTCCTAGGAAGCCATGTTCCTGACCCTCTCAGGAGCAGGTTCTGGCAAGAAAGGGGGGAATGGGTGTGATAAGCGTGGAAGAGAGAAACAGAAGCCAAGCTGTTGGAAGCACTCAAGATGGTGTGACGTTCTGTTACCAATGAAAGGTCAGGTGTGAGATGGGTGTGTGTGTGTATCAGGATGAGGTGGGGGTGGGGGGCAATGAGGAAGGACACTGAATATGGGCACGCTATCACTGAAAATAAATTGTAAGGGGTTTTATTTTCTCTTGAAAACCAAAAGCATGATTGCTCTTTGTCTTCTGTCTTTCCAGATACAATGGCGTTCTCATTGAGCTGAAATTACCCCATAAAATGGACTTCAGTGGAAACAATGTTAGTGGAGTGCTCTTCCAGTACCCAGACACCGAGGGGAAGGTGGAAGACTTCACAGAGCTTGTGGAGAGGGCCCATCAGACTGGGGTAGGCAAATCTCTCCTTGTGGGGGTCCATGGAGGTATGTCCCAACTTTGAATTACGATTTTTTGATGCATCTTAGTTTCCATAACTGTATCACCTAGAATGGTAAAGCACTCTCCTTCCTGCCTCCTTTTCTTGAGTTTATTTTGTTCATTAATTTCTGGCGCATAGTAAGCACTCAGTAATTTTTTAAAAAAAGATTTTAATTTATTTGAGAGAGAGAGAAAGAGCCTGAGCAGGGGGAGGGGCAGAAAGAGAGGGATTAAATAGGCCCCCTGCTGAGTGGGGAGCTTGATGTGGGGCTCGATCCCAGGGCCCTGAGATCATGACCTGAGCCACCCAGGTGCCCCTCAGTAAATATTTTTGAATGAATCAGTGAGTAAATGGAATTCACAGGGTATGAAACAACCCTGTCTGTCTGCTTATATTGCAGGTAATTTGCTATTCTCTCACTGCTCCCTGGGTGAAGGTGACAACTACCACCACTTTCTCTCTTGTGTCCTTTCTAGAGCCTGGCCTGCTGTGCTACCGACCTTTTAGCTCTGTGTATCTTGAGGCCTCCTGGAGAATTTGGGGTAGACATTGCCCTAGGCAGCTCACAGCGATTTGGAGTGCCACTGGGCTATGGCGGACCACATGCAGCCTTTTTTGCTGTTAGAGAAAGCTTGGTGAGGATGATGCCCGGGAGAATGGTGGGGGTAACAAGGTAATGAAGCTCATGTTTCTCCCCTTTGATTGTGTTATTATTTTCCCTGTTTCTTCTTCTGATTACAAAAGTTGTTGATTTCTCTCTGAATTTAACTGGGCCATGCACAATAATTTACAACATACTTGTATTCAAGTCACATAAGTGAATTTAATTAGGTTGACAAAAGCATTGAAAGACTGGACATTTTAGGTGGTTTTATATCTCACCACTTTCATTCTCAAATGCATTGTCATGCCACACAGGTAAAAGACAAGCACAGTGAGAGATTACCATGTACACATTGTAATCCACATTATTTCCTAGAGGCCTGCTACTTGTTTGTTCTAGTAATTTCTAAATGTACTTTCTCAAGTGCTTCTCATTGATACACCTCCTCAGATTAAGAATTTAGATGAATGTCATGATTATTACTGGGGAAATTTAGCATGCCCTTTTAGACCTTACAAAGAAGTTAGACTTACTAGCCCAAGTGAATAGTCTATATTAGTGAATAATTTGAATCTTTGAAATGCAACTTATCACATAATAGCAAGAGGCACCTCGCTTTTTAGTGTAAAAATAAGTTTCTTCAAGTATTCTTACATTTGTTTCTTTCAGTGATGTATCTTCACCAGGTAAGATGAGGCAGAAAGTTTTCTAATTAAAAAGAATTTAATATATTAATTATTGTCTGCTGATTTTTTAAAAAAGATTTTATTTATTTATTTGTCAGAGAGAGAGCACAAGTTGGGGAGAGGCAGGCTCCCTGCTCAGCAGGGAGCCTAATGTGGGGCTCCATCCCATGCATGACCTGAGTCAAAGGCAGATCCTTAACCGACTGATATACCCAGGTGCCCCTTTCTGCTGATTTTTATATTGAACTTCTTATCTTACTGAAAAAATGGACCCAGAGTTTGATGAAATAAAGGATAAGACTGTTGAATCTTTTCTTTTTTTAATTTTTAAATTTTTTAATTAATTTATTTTTAAGATTTATTTATTTATTTGTCAGAGAGAGTGAGTGAGCACAAGCAGGGGGAGTGGCAAGCAGAGGGAGAAGCAGGCTCTCCACTGAGCAAGGAGCCTGACTCGGGCCTCGATCCCAGGACTCTGGGATCATGACTGAGCCGAAGGCAGAGGCTTAACGACTGAGCCACCCAAGTGTCCCCAAATTCTTTTTTTGTTTTTTAAAGATTTATTTATTTGAGAGAGAGAGAGCACGAGTGGGAGGGACAGAAGGAGAGGGAGAGAGAATCTCAAGCAGACTCCCACTCTGAGTGAGGAGCCCTACTCAGGGCTTGATCCCACGACCCTAAGATCATGACCTGAGCTAAAACCAGGAGTCTGTTGCTTAACCCACTGCACCACCCAGGGCCCCCTATCCAAATTCTCAATTGTATTAGGAAAGAAGGAAAATTTTTCTTAGAGACAAGTGGTAAGATTATTAACATTCTTTTTTTAAGTTCTTAAATTCCAGTTAACATACAGTGCAATACTAATTTCAGGTGTACAATTTATTGATTCAACACATTCTTTTTCTTTGTAGCAGTACAGTTGCTTTAGATTCCAGGGCAGAAGTTGACTCCTTTGTCAGATATTTCCCTTTTTTCTGTGTCTGCCAAGATGCTCACAGTGAAATTTAATCTTCCCTAAGTTTAATTTTAAATTGAATCCTCATTCACCATCATTATATTAGTCTGGGTAATTCCAGGGAAGTTTCCTTTCAAGATTGCTGGTCTTTCTGTGTATATCTCAGTTCTTCCCTCAAAGTATATACTAAAAATTAGTAGTCCTATTTAGAACAGGATGGCTTAAGAATTGTTTCTTTATGGCCTTGCAGCCAAATATATTTCTGGGTTCCCTTCAATCTGGGAAGGAAAGAAACAGGTCCCTTTGTGACCACCCTTGGTGCTATGATCATATATGTTAACTAGATGTTTTATTCTTGGGCCAGAGATGCCACTGGGAAAGAAGTGTACCGTCTTGCTCTTCAAACCAGGGAACAGCACATCCGGAGAGACAAGGCTACTAGCAACATCTGTACAGCTCAGGTAGGTCACATGCCTGCTTTGCCCACTAAACCCTTTATAATCTACAGAAATGAGCTGCTCATGCATTCACTCGATTGTTAATTCATTCGTTCACCACCTACTGACCAGTGTGTACATCAGAAGTGGTGTCATCTTATTGATAGAGAAGCCCTGTGGTCTTGTCAGAACCAAAATACGATGCATTTTCCTGGAGCTCTGTGTATGGATATACTGCATACGTCAGTGTTTCTAGCATTCTTGGCCATCGGGCCAGGTCCATTATGGGTGGTGGGTGATTGGGCACCTTCTCTTAAGGTTGAAATGGAAGCCCTCTAGGAATGTGGTGAGGGAGGCAATGTGACTGTGCTTGAGGGGGTGACCAAGATTGACCCGTTGGTGGTGGTTGTGGGATACTCTTACTGGGGACTCAGGACAGGCATTCGTGAAAGGATGGACTAAAAGAGGAGGAGCTTCCTAAGTTCCTGACGATTCTGGAAGTTGCCCAGGGCTCAGGTCAGAGGAAGGAGTGTTTGAGACCAAGTTTCTAGGCTTAGGTGGAGGACTCTTCCTGAGCATCCAATCCATTCTAGGTCCATCTTCTCCATTCAGGGTAAGAGAAAGAGATCTTACCAACACCTCAGTGGGCAATATGGTGCTTTTTTTCTCTCAGGGCACTGGTTCAAAGCACCACCACCAGGTTTTAGACTCTCCAGGGGCAGTAGATGATAAGGTCTTCTTATATTTGGTTCTCTAGCCGGTGGTCTTTGGACTAGTTTCCTCACTAGGTTTTCTTGTCTTATTTGTTGCCTCAAAAAGGTGGCTGCTTCTTTTTAGCCAAGAGCTCTTTCTTTCATCACAGGAAGGAGCCAGCTGTCAAGAGCTTTTCCTCTGTTGACAGCAAATTGAACTTTACATGATGCTATTACTTTCCATAGTTTACCCTTCATTTGTTGAATTCCCTGCTTATATATTTCTCCTTCCTGTGCAGCTGATTGCTCCTGTCTTGCTCTTTCTGCTCATGTTCTTCCAAAAGGTGCCTGTCTGGTTATAAATGCATTAAGGAGTTTTCTGCTTCAATGTTTGAAATTAATTTTACAGGTGAATTTGGGCTGAACAAAGGCCTCTTTTTCAGCAATTATTAAAGTGATGCTTGCCTTGGAAATAGTGCAACTCTGTCTTTTGATTTTTTTTTTTTAAAGATTTATTTATTTATCTTAGAGAAAGAGTGAGGGAGGCGAAGGGGCAGAGGGAGACAAGAGAGAGAATCCCAAGCAGATTCCACGCTGGGTGTGAAACCCGATGTGGTGCTCAATCCCAGGAACCTGACATCATGATCTGAGCTGAAAGCAAGAGTCAGACGCTTAACCGACTGCGCCACCCAGGTGCCCCTGTCTTCTCTGATTTTTATCTTCTTATTCTGGAGAACTTCCAGCTATCCATTGTCTATTTCATTTCATGAGTTTCTTTTCATAATTGGTTGCATAAAGCAGTTGCTCATAATTCCAGGGTCATTGTCTATAAGCATACAATTAATCTTTTTTTTTGCAATTAATCTTTTTTGTTAGGAGATGACTGATATCTTTTGAGATGCTCCTTGAGCACTATATGCCTTTAACTCCAGCCTTCTGCTTCTTTAGCCACTGCTCTGTGTTCTCATGGCTGCCCCTTTTCTCTTGAGCATAATAGGCTCCACAATCGAGTTTTAGTTTTGCATTGTTGGTGGTACAAAGCTCTCTGAAAGTGTGTTATTGAATTCTTTTTTAAAATTCTTTCTATAAACTTGTGATATTTCACAGATATCTGAACTTGCATCACGTCCTGTTCTTTATGTTTTCTTATTTCTTGGGTTCTACCACCACAAGCAATTTTTTCATTAGCTTTCTCTGAAGTCAGTTGTGTTGAGGTGTAATCTGCATTTCATTAACTCTTCAGTGAGCTGTAACTCCCCATAAAATTTGCTCATTTAAAGTATACAGTTCAGTGGTTTTTAGTATTTTTGTGAAGTTGTGCAACCATCACTAGCATTTCATTTCTGAACATTCTCATCACCCCAAAAGGAAACCTGTTCCCATGAAGCAATCACTCCCCATCCTTCTCCCCTCCCTGCAGCCCCTGGGAGCCACTAATCTACTTTCTTCCTATATGTATTTGCCTATTCTGGACATTCATACAAATGGGATTTTACAATATGTGGCCTTTTGTGCCTGGCTTCTTTCACTTAGTATACTGATTTCAAGGTTTATCCATATTGTGGTATGAATCAGTACTTCCTTTTTTTTATGGCTGAGTATTATCCTATTGTATGGACATACCACATTTTGTTTATCCATTCATCAAGTGATGGATATTTGGGTTGTTTCCACTTTAAGTATTTTGAATAAAGCTGCTATGCACATTCATGTACAAGATTTTATGGGGTCATATGTTTTCAGTTCTCTTAGGTATATACCCAGAAGTAGAATTACTAGGCCATATTAGTAACCTAAATTGAACTTTCTGAAGAACTTCAGACTGTATTCCAAAGGGGCTTCATCATTTTGTATTCCCTCTACCAGCGTTTGAGGGTTGTAATTTCTCCACATTTTCACCAGTGCTTGTTATTGCCTGTCTTTTTAGTTATAGCCATCCTAGCGAGTATGAACTGATATCTCATTGTGGTTTTAGTATGCATTTCCCTTATAACTAATGATTTCGAGCAACTTTTAATCATGAGCTTTTGATTACTCTTATTTTTTATTACTTTATTTGTATACTAATTATATTAAGTTTGTCCAAGTTATCCAGGAAATTTGAATTTTCTTGGTCTTCATTTCTCTGAACTTCCTTTGGAGTTCTAATTCCTTTCTGAGATTTCTAAAAATGATTCTATACTTGTCATCAGTTTGTTGGCCAGTCACTTGATACAGTCTCCTCTTTGTAGAAAAGAATCATCTCTACATTAAAAAGGGATATGAACCAACTTATACAGGGTTGTTGTGATAAGAGGATTCCAGAGGATTCTGTGAATATCAGGCCTGAGTTTCTATTCCCCAGCAGTAGTCATAAGCATTTGGATACACAGTGTCATGTATTGTTTGACTTGCCCTCTCCATAGCTGGAATGTGTTGTAGTGCTTCTGTATATATTTCTAATTGTTATACAGAGTCCACAAAGCTTCTATACTCTCTTGGGGAATTTTGGTCCAAGAAAGTCTACTTCTGTGTTCTTAGATATCTTCTTCTGCTTCTTCTTTTTTTAGAGAGGGAAAGAGAGGAGAGGGAGAAAAGGAATCTTAAGCAGGCTCTGTGCTCAGTGCGTAGCCTGACTCGGGGCTTGATCTCAAAATCCTGAGATCATGACCTGAGCCAAAATCAAGAGTCAGATGCTTAACTGACTGAGCCACCCAGGTGCCCCAGATTTCTTCCTTTCCTCTGCATTTTCTTTGACTGTTGGCTTCACTTTCTGGCATCTTTTTTTTTTTTTTTTTTGTCAGAGAGAGAGTGAGAGAGAGCACAAATAGAGGGAGCAGCAAGGCAGAGGGAGAAGCAGGCTCCCTGCTGAGCAAGGACCCCAATGTGGGATTCAATCCCAGGACCCTGGGAACATGACCTGAGCTGAAGGCAGATGCTTAACTGACTGAGCCACCCAGGCATCCCTTTCTGGCATCTTTTGAGAACTGTTTCTTGTTTTGCAGTGGTCCCATGGCTGAGAAGATGTGTACCGAACAAAATAGATCCAATATTGAATATCAGCCAACTTAAAAGCATTGTGTTTCTCAGGTGCCTTTCCCACTCTGTGGTGATTGGCTGTGAAGATGACCACATTAGGAGAAAATTCACACTAGTGGGACTGAAAACTTCAGAGTTTATGGTGCTGGACCAGTAAAATGGGAGTGGCAGTGGGAGAACAGAATAGGCTGGGCAGGGTAGGAATCTGAGACCTGAGTTGGGACCAGTTTCCTGGGAAGTAGGGATGATATTGCATGGTTAGAAGATTGCTTATTGGCAGGATCTAGGGTGATAAAGCAAATGAGGGATGGGACCAAGAGGAAGAGAAGCATGAGGTGGGCCTCCATCATTTTTTGCCACATTGTCACTCGTTTTAGTATCTTATCCTAGCTATCTTCTTTTATCTTCTTCCTTGACTCAACATGCCATCACAGTGGGTTCTTTTCTTGTTCCCCATGCAGGACTTCCTCACTGAAGCATTGCTGTCTGTGCCCCTTATCTCTGAGAGATTCCAGTGCCATTCCTTTCTATTTTCTGTCACACAAAACACACGCTTCCCTGTAAATGTTCTTGTGAAACCTCAATCCCGAAACCTCAAGGGAGATATCTTTACCTGAGAAAGTGACCTTGCTGTGAACAGGGAATAGCCAATAGGTGCTGATATTCTCTAATACATGTCCTGCCAATTCATTTTGGTTTTATCGCCCTGTGTCCTGCATTTTCATTTTTGGTAGTCCTTTCCCACACAATATTCATTCATCCATTGGCTGGCTGAAATTCAGCTTCTAGGGCTTTATTTAAGTTCTCAGTATAATTGTGTTCCCTGAGTTCTTGTATATTTGTAAATTGTTTGTTGCTTTTATCCTTGAATTGTTTGATTGATATAAAATTCTTGGATCTCACTTCTTTTCCCCTGACACCTTTATTACTCCGCTGTCTTCCTACATGAAATACTGCTCCTCGATGTTTAATGACATCCCCATCTTCCCTCTTATGGGTGATATGATTATATTACATGGATGAAAGTCCTCCTTTATAGTGGTCAAATCTGAAAGTTTAGTATCGTGACTCCAGGGTGTCTTGGATACTGTGTTTGCCCCTGAGATAGGCAGGTTATAAATCATCCCCCACTATCATAGAGAAAGCAGGAAATCTGATCACTTTTTTTGTCCCTGTTTTCAGTTGTGGCATTTCAAGTCAAAATAATACTCCTTCCCACTAACTGTCTTCATCGCATTGTTGAACATGATTCCTTAAATGTTCTTTGTTGTTTTAGGCTCTCTTGGCAAACATGGCTGCCATGTTTGCAATCTACCATGGTTCCCATGGGCTGGAGCATATCGCTAGGAGGGTACATAATGCCACTTTGATTTTGTCTGAAGGTGAGTCACTTCATAACAAGACTGATAAACCTGAGTAAGTAAAATAGAAAACTCAGTGTATGTCCAATACTGTATACAAAATTGAAAGTCAAATAAGAAAATATTTCGCCATTTCTGATAGACTGAGTGTTAAAATTTTTAATATGGAGATCTCTTACTTGCTCCCCAACTCCATAAACAAGAGGGATGATCACTCAGAGAAAAATGGGCAAAAGACATTAAGTGTAATTTTATTTTTTTATTTTTTTAAGATTTATTTATTTTATTTTAGAGAGAGAGAACCAGGGGGAGGGGCAGATGGAGAGGGAGAGAGAGTCTTAAAGCACAGAGCCTGACACAGAGCTCAATCTCACAACCCTGAGATCACAACCTGAGCTGAAACAGAGTCAGAAGCTTAACCGACTACATCCCCCAGGTGCCTGAGTGTAATTTTAAAAGAAGTAAATATACAAATAAATGGCCAGTAAACATAAAATTTTAACCTTACTATTAAGGAAATGTAAATTGAAACAATAGTGTTTTTCCCATTACATTGGTAAAGATTAAAAAGAATGCTGATGTTGGTATAAATTTTTTTTAAAGATTTTTTTCTATTTATTAGAAAGAAAGAGGGAGAACACAGGCGGAGAGTAAGAGGGAGAAGCAGACTCCCTGCTGAGCAGATAGCCAGATGTGGGACTCGATCCCAGGACCCTAAGATCATGCCCTGAGCTGAAGGTAGACACTCAACTGACCGAGCCACCCAGGCGCTCATGTTGGTATAACTTTCATGAGGGCATGTAAGCAGTACATATCAAAAGCTTTTAAAATGCGCCGACAGTTTGAATAAAAAATTCTACTTCTAGAAATGTATCTAAAGGAAATAATCACCTAAGGATGTAAAGGGTATCCATTGAAACATTGTTTATAATACCACAATCTTAGAAACAGCCTAAATGTTCAGTAATAAGTGATTAAATTATTTTACATGCATATATTTGAATATTATACCACCATTAAAAATAATGACATGGATATCGATCTGTAGAAAAGCAAAATGTTCTTTATGTATTACAAATTTTTTAAAGTGTAAAGAAATATGTGATATCTCTCTCTTTCTCTCTCTCACACACACACACCCCAATTCTAGAGTAATATACACTAAATTGTAACCAGTGATTATTTCTGTATGGTGATTATGGTGATTTTTCTTTTTTTATATGTATTTATTTCATAATATTCTATAGCATAGTGACAAACTTTTAATTTCTTTTAAAAAAAAAAAGCAGCTATCAAAACACTGGCTAAAATCAGGAACAGACTATAGTTAAAATTCACCTCTTGGGGCCCCTGGATGGCTCAGTCAGTTAAGCATCCTACTCTTGATTTCAGCTCAGGTCATGATCTCAGGATCCTGCAATTGAGCCCTGTGTTGGGCTCTGCGCTCAGCGCAGTCTGCTGGTCCCTCCCTCTACCCCCGCTCTTGTGTTCTTCCTAAAATAAGTAAGTAAATAAATAAAATCTTAAAAAAAAAAGAAAAAGAGTTTACCTCTTTACTTCTCTGTGAAAGGTCAGGGGCCGCAGAGCAGATTTCTGTGTTAGGGACTTGTGGCTTTCCTATCTTGTCTAGGTCTCAAGCGAGCAGGGCATCAACTCCAGCATGACTTGTTCTTTGACACTTTGAAGATTCAGTGTGGCTGCTCAGTGAAGGAGGTCTTGGACAGGGCCACTCAGCGGCAAATCAATTTTCGGCTCTTTGAGGATGGCACAGTTAAGTAAAACTTTTCCACTTTTTAAACTACTTTAAAGTTTCCTGACTTTTCTTAGTAAAAATTTTCTTCTTAAAAAAATCAGTATTGGAATTTGGGGCACAATCTATGTTTTTTAAACAATTTTCATTTCCCGCTTGGAACATTGTGACTTTCAAATAAAGGATAACTCATTCTTAGCTTTACTTAAGACTTTGTGTTTTCATGCATGGGACTCTTAGGCACATATTTTGCTCATAATACCCTTCACAATATGACTGTTGAAGGTAAAGACTATGATAAGTGATATAATAAATTAAGGTTAAGTATATCTGGTGACCTACCAGACCCACCAGACTGTTGGAGTCCAGAAGTGGCTCCTAGAACTCTAAACTTTGTAAAGTCTCAGACTCATCTAGTCCATGGGCCAACTCGGATACAAGGGCACCCAGATATCTTAGCATAACTGGGGGTCTTATCCAGCACCTTCCTCCCTTTGACTTCTCTTGGGGTTTCTCCACTGGTCTTGATGTTGGGCTGATGTTTTCCCTTTCATTTTCATTTCTGTAGCTTGGGATTTCTCTTGATGAAACAGTCAATGAAAAAGATCTGGATGACTTGTTGTGGATCTTTGGCTGTGAATCATCTGCAGTAAGTAAACTGAGAAGATGCATTTCTCATAATGACTGTTTGAGGTGTTGTCAAAGATGACTTTCCCTCTTGTGGCTCCGAGGGTGACACTGGGTGGCCTGCTGTTAAAATTATGCCACTGACCATCCCTGATAGCTGGTGGTCACTGCTGGGGGCCCCAGCTAGGACCTTACAGCCAGGCTATGTGGGAGGATTGTTAATGGTGTTTAATTAAAACTATCACTAACATGGAGAACCGTGACATTGGTGTCTTGGTTATGTCAGTTCTGGGAAAATACTTATTTATTGAACACCTAATATGTGGCAGGTACTATGTTAGGCCCTGAAGATGGTGGTGAATTAGACATGATTCCTGCCCCGACAGAGCTTATAGTCTAATGGGGACTCAGACATGCACAAGATTAAAATCCAGGTGATATCTTATGCTGGGTGTTGTCTGAAGATGCTCTGTGAGCACAGAAGAGGAGCTTCTCACCAAGACTTAGAGAAATTGTCCTAAGCTGAGTTCTGAATGATGAGTAGGAATTATCCAATCTAAGATGGCACAATTGAAGAACTAGGAAAATGGGGCCAGAGGTGTTCCAGACACTGGGAAAAGCAACAATAAAGGCTTAGAGGAGAAAGATTACAATGTGAACTTGGGGCAGTTCAGTGTGACTGAGTTGGTTTCTAAAGCAACGAATTAGCAGGGCCATGTGAGAGGAAAGGTTATAGTTCTGTGGAATGAAGATGACAGAGAAGCAGTCAGTAGCTACCTAAACCTGTGGCAAGATGTTAATCACAACACTCTATAGGGCCTGGTACACAGGAAGCACTCAGTAAATACTGTTGAATGAATCAATGGAAAGAAATGTTTCCCATACAGGTAGAAATAGGTTCCAGAGTGCTGACCGTGTGCTGAACGGTGCCATCCTGGTCGTCTATGTACTCTTTAAGAAGAGGACTTCAGTACCAGATAACAGTTGTAAATCATCAAAGAGATACCACACTGTTCTTTTTTAAGCCTTAATAAATAGGAGTGAATAAGCCATCTTCTCTCTAGAACTCTGCATTAAATTTAACCACAGGTTCCATGCATTTAAGGAATATTTATGGAGCACCCACTGAGGGCTCTAGATGGCTGTACTATCATGAGGAACAAGCCATGCATTTATATATTCTGGATATTAAACCCTTATCAGATATGATATGCAACATTTTTCCCATTCTGTGGGTTGTCTCAATGCTTGATAGTGTCCTTTGATATGCAAAAGTTTTTTAATTTTAATTGAAGTCCACTTTATTTACTTTTTCTTTTGTTACTCATGCTTTTGGTGTCATATTTGAGAAACAAAATCCAAATCCAAGATCATGCAGATTTGTGTCTGTTTTCTTCTAAGAGTTTTATACTTTTGGCTTTTAAATTTAGGTCCTTAGTTCACTTTGAGTTAGTTTTTGTATATGGTATAAGGTAAGGGTTTGACTTCATTCTTTTACATCTGGATATCCACTTTTCTCAGCAATTGTTTGTTGAAGGGATTATCCTTTTGCCCACTGAATGGTCTTGGCACATGTATTTTATTAGAATTGTTCTCACAGATAAAAGCACTGTCAAGTAAGAATACTTACTTGAGTGTTGTCATCATAACTGGTTTTTTAAAATATTTATTTATTCAAGAGAGAGAGAGCAATCACATGCATGGAGTTGGGAGTCAGAGGAGAGGGAAAGAGAGAATCTCAAGCAGACTCCCCGCTGAGTGTGGAGCCAGAAGCAGGGCTCAATCCCATGGCCCTGAGATCATGACCTGAGCCAAAATCAAGAGTTGGATGCTTAACTGACTGAGCCACCCAGGCGCCCCCATCATAACTTTTTTGATAGCCCTTTAAAATAACTTAATGTAGGGCGCCTGGGTGGCTCAGTTGGTTAAGCGACTGCCTTCGGCTCAGGTCATGATCCTGGAGTCCCAGGATCGAGTCCCGCATCGGGCTCCCTGCTCGGCAGGGAGCCTGCTTCTCCCTCTGACCCCCCCCCTCATGTGCTCTCTGTCTCTCTCATTCTCTCTGTCTCAAATAAATAAATAAAATCTTTAAAAAAAAATAAAATAACTTAATGTAACTTGCTTCATTACTCAAGGAACATGCAGGAGAAGTCTTGCCAGGGAGGGGGTGGCAATAAAAATTGTCATTTTTCCTCTTTTCCTCTGGCAAAGGTCAGTAGAACTTAGAAATGGTGCTCCGCCCAATTCATGACTCCTGATACCTGTTACCTCACCATGCCAGATGCCAGGGGGTTGGGCGGTGGTAATAGATCTCTAGTGCTTTGTCGGGGTACATGCCAACCAGAAGCCTGGATCTCCACATGTAGTTCCAGGCATGCTTTCCACTCTTTAGTCTGTGGTCTCTCCACACAGGAGCTGGTTGCTGAAAGCATGGGCGAGGAGCGGAGAGGTATTCCAGGGACTGCTTTCAAGAGAACTAGCTCTTTCCTCACACATCAAGTGTTCAACAGGTTTGTGTGGTTGTGTGCATTATGTGCTGTGGCTTGGGAGTACAATAGAGAGTGGCTGCTTTTTAAAAAATTTTAAAGATTTATTTATTTGAGAGAGAGAGCAAGTGATAGTGTGCAAGTTGGGGGAGGGGCAGAGGGAGAGAATCTCAAGCAGACTTCCTACTAAGCATGGAGCCCAACATGGGGCTTAATCTCATGACGCATCATGAGATCATGACCTGAGCCAAAACCAAGAGTGGGAGGCTCAACCGACTTAGCCATCCAGGTACCCATAGAGAGTGGCTTCTGGATCCAACTATGATATGGCTTGGGTTATTGTGGTTCAGCCATGGCTCACTAATAAACCAACGCCATAAGGATTCCATTCCTGATTGGCATACACGTTGGCAGTGTAACCCCTAAGCCCACTTGTCAGGAAGAGAGGTTTGGATGCATGGTTTATAGGCTGAAGTTCATACCCAGGAACTCAACATAGTCCTCTTCCCAACCTCCTCTCCTGCCCACAGAAGCTTCTTGTCCTACTGCATCCCCTGAGGTTCGTGGGGGTTCCATGCCCTTCCCTCTGATGCTTTGTTGGCATGTTGCCCGTGGCTCAATTTGATCTGTATTTTGAAGGTAGATCTGTGTGTCTTATATTTCAGGAGGATGTATATGGACTCTTATCCCATTATAATGCCCCAAATCATGTGTTTTGTGTTCACAGCTATCACTCAGAAACAAATATTGTGCGATATATGAAGAAATTGGAAAACAAAGACATTTCCCTTGTTCACAGCATGATTCCGCTGGTAATTGTTGTCTTTGTTCTTACCTCTAACCCCAACCCTGGTCTCACCTCTTTGGCTTGCAGCTACATGCTGCAAGAGGGATGGAGGGGTGGCCATTTGGGGAGATCAGAGGGTCAAGAGGAAATCACTAATGTGATACATTTTGGATATGCTTCTTAAAGGGGTCCTGTACCATGAAGCTCAACAGCTCATCTGAACTCGCAGTAAGTAGGACACTTCTCTTAAGAGGGAACTTAGTGGGAGCAGTGTTCTAGCTTGTACATAATTAGATAACTAGAGAAAGCTACTGGGACTGATTTAATAACTACCTGAATAATTATTTACCTTGCTATTCTTTTTTTTTTAAGATTTTATTTATTTATTTGAGTGAAATAGAGAGCTTGAGTGGGCAGGGAAGGGCAGAGGGAAAGGGAGATGCAGGCTCCCCACTGAGCAGGGAGCCTGATGCTGGGCTCAATCCCAGGACCCTGAGATCATGACCTGAACTGAAGGCAGATGCTTAACCAGCTGAGCTACCCAGGCACCCCCATCTTTATGTTGCTATTCAACAATCTTAGGAGAAACCCCAATTTTATCGCAACTTGATCATTTAAGTTTGAGTAAAATTATCTGAAACTAATATTATATGTTAATTAATTGAATTTAAATTAAAATAATTAAATATATAATATTCATGCCTTCCTATTCCCTATTTATAGATTCATGCCTTCCTATCCCCTATTTATAGATTCATGCCTTCCTATCCCCTATTTATTTGTTTTAGTATAGATTTTATTTTTAAGTAATCTTAAAAATCTTGAACTCACAACCCTGAGACCAAGAGTCAAATGTCTACTGACTAAGCCAGCCACATGCCACTCCTATTCCCCCCTTTAAACCTGCAATGCTTTTATCAACTTGTAGTTGTTAAGCTCAGTAGAATTCAGAACCTTAAGCCTTCTTTCTAGAAATCCATTCACAGTGCGAGAAGGGTAGAGACTGGAGGTTTTCATTTATGTCTTGTGTCAACAGAAGATTTGTGTAACCTGCTCTTGTGGTTGGTAAGTATCTCTCCTAGGCTAGGATCCATTTTAGCAAAACTATCTTCTTCCTTTTTTTCCATAGGATTATTCTGATATGACAAATCACATCAGACAAAGGAAATCACTTTATATTGTGATTGGAAGCATTTTCCCCATTTCCTTTTGTTTTTGTCTTGTTCTGAGAATAAATACGTGTGCTGTATAAGAGTCCAAGTAAATCATACGTGAAACAACTCACTGGGTTTCATGGATATAAATCTATTTTAGGGACTTTTTGTTCCTGAAAAGATAGAAAAAGTTTATATTTTTGTGTAAATTCCCTTTCTAGGCCTTTCTGACCCACTTATAAAATGAAGGCAGTAATAGTACTTACCTGGTAAGATTGTGGTGAGATTTAATGAATTAATGTATTTAAAGTGCTTAAAACAGTGCCTGGCACATAGTAAATACTCTTTGTGCTAGCTAGTGCTATACTCATCATCATCATTATTAAAGTTTACTATTGTTATTACTATTACAATTGTACATATGCATGTGTTTTCTCCCCTGTTGCTCTTCAGCCTATCACATGGAAAGAATTTGCAAACATCCACCCATTTGTGCCTCTGGACCAAGCTCAAGGGTATCAGCAACTTTTCCAAGAGCTTGAGAAAGACTTATGTGAACTCACGGGCTATGACCGAATCTCCTTCCAGCCTAACAGGTAAGAGATTTCTTCTCCTGTCTTTTAGCTATCTCTTGTGGTATAATACCCACCCCCAAAATTTTGAGGCTTGAAATGACAATTTCGTATCATTCTGAGAGTTGAGTAGACAGTTCAACTCCACTGACTGGGGTGGATGGCTAGAATATCCAATAAGTAGCGACATTCACATAGATGGCAAGTTAATGATGGAGCCCAGTTGAGGATGTTGACCTGGGCCGTGGTTCTTATTCATGTAGCCCTCTCCATGTGGTTGCTTGAGCTTCATTCGTCCTGGAATGATGTCTAGGTTTAAAGTGGAGTGTTCCATGATGGAAGAATGTGGAAGCTACAAAACCCCTTAAGGCTCAGACTCTGAAGTTTCACAGCATGACTTCCAGAGCATTCTATCTGTTAAAGCAAGTGACAGGGCCAGCCCAGTTTGAATGCAGGAGGGGACAATACATGGGTGTGAATGTCCAGAGTTGTGTTTCATTGTGGGCCATCTTTGGAAACTAGTTACTATATCCATCAATGACATAGCATTAGAATTAGAATCAAGTACACATGTTAACTCCTAACAAGCAGCAACATCTCAATCCAGTAGGGTCAGGAGAACCTAGAGCCTGGTTTGTGCTGTCACTAACTTTGAAAGTTCCCTGCTCCTCTTCTGGCCTCTGTTTCTTTATCTGTAAAGTAAAAACTCTGAAGAACAGTTGACTTTAAAAAAAATTTTTTTTTTAATTTATTTTTTGACAGAGAGAGGGAACATAAGCAGGGGGAGTGGGAGAGGGAGAAGCAGGCTTCCCTAAGAGCATGGAGCCCGATGTGGGGCTCGATCCCAGAACCCTGGGATTATGACCTGAGCTGAAGGCAGACGTGCAACCCACTGAGCCACCCAGGCGCCCCAAACAGTGACTTTTTTTTAAAAGCAGAGGGCTCTAGCAACATTTCTTGGGTGCTTGTTAAAAATACAAATGTCTGTGTCCCACTCTAGGCCTACTGATCATAATCTCCAGGGTTTAGGACTAAGAAACCATATTTTTAAGAAGCAAACAAATAAATGATTCTGATATACAGCCAGTTTGGAATCCACTGGGTTTTCGATCTGTCTTCATGGGAATAGAGAGATAGGTGGATAGACAAACACTTTCATCAGCATGAATTCACATTTAACTATCTTCAGAAGAGTTGCGTTTCTGCCAAGGGATTCTCCACAAGAAGTGTAATTCTCCACCAGCAGCCTCAGCATTGACATCACCCAGGAGCTTGTTAGAAATGTAGACTTCAAGATACAAAAATCAAATGATTTTTTTAAAAGATTTATTTATTTGAGGGTGGGGAGTGGCAGAGGGAAAATCTTCAAGCAGACTCCCCGCCAAGCGAGAAGCCCGACTGGGGGCTCGATCTCACAACCTTGAGATCATGACCTGAGCCAAAATCAAGAGTTGGAGGCTTAACCAACTGTACCACCGAGGCGCCCCAAAAATCAAATGATTTTAAAACTGGGACATTTATCATCTCACTCTCTGAAACAGAAAGTAATCAGATCTTAGCTACAATCAAGCCCTACCTCCTGTTTGGTAACATAAGCTATACAGCAAAGTCATGCACTTTGTGAAAACAGTATATCCTATAAAATACAAACCCTTTAAGATGGGGGCATATGGCAAATGAAAGGACACAGAGCTCTTTTAATAGTAGCCTCTCAAATGCTGATTTTATAAATAGGAAGGAATGACATTCATGAAAGTCTGGCTTCATACCTTCATTAAAACATCATCAAGCCCCTCCCCCTTTTTAAAGGAAGAGAGGAACCTGAGTGAATTATTAATCTGAGGCAATAAACCTTAATTAAATGTTGAAAATGAAGAAACTTCGCCCTCTAGTGATGGAATATGATTACATCGTCTGTGTCATATAGGAGAGTAATTGTTAAGGACTATTTTAACTCTTAAGTCATTAGCTTTTGCAGCTCATTGAGGGCCCAGCCAGGGTCCTGAAAGACTGACCTAAGGATGAGGAAGCTTGCCTTCCCTTAAAGCAATGGTTCCCAACCCTGGCTGGAAATTGGAGTCATGTGGTGAGTTTATAAAAAGGTTCTGGTGTCCATATCACAATCCCAGATTGAATTATAATCTTGATAGGGAAAGACTGGGGTGAGGGAAGGGACACAGGCTTGAGTATGTCTTTAAAGCTTCTCAGGTGATTCCAGTTTGAAGGCGAGGGTAAGAACCACTGTCAAAGAAGTTTCTCTGTTGTTTTTCTTACTATACATAATGCTCTTTCTCTGTCCTGCTCTCCTCACTCATGTGATTGGCAGTGAGATTCAGTACTCCATCTCAGTTTTGTAGGAGGGAAGGAGATGGTTATTAGGATGTCATTTCTGTCAGTGATGCCTTCTCCACCTTCACAGATTCCCAGATATGACACTCATTGTCAAGACCGATTTGAAAGTGACAGGAGCTGTGCCCAAAGTTGAGGCTTATTGAGGGATATTTCTGGTTCTTAGCAGAGGCTGCTGTGACAGATGAGGAAATGCCCTACTCTTTTGTTGGGAAGATAGACGATGCTTCCAGAGATTATTAAAGTTTGGGGAAAAGAGGAAGGGATGCACCATATATTGTCTGTGTAAGGATTTTGTTTTTTGTTTTTGTTTTTTTTTTTGTTTTTTTTTAAAGATTTTATTTATTTATTTGACAGAGAGAGACACAGCGAGAGAGGGAACACAAGCAGGGGGAGTGGGAGAGGGAGAAGCAGGCTCCCCGCAGAGCAGGGAGCCCGATGTGGGACTCGATCCCAGGACCCTGGGATCATGACCTGAGCCGAAGGCAGTCGTTCAACCAACTGAGCCACCCAGGCGCCCAGGATTTTGTTTTTATCTTGTTAAAACCCTCTTGGTTTATTTGTGCTAATCTCTCCACACGTGAATTATATATCCAGGTCTCATAATCTATATTCTAAGTATTATAATTAATTACCACAGGACTAACTGTTTAGTGGTTAGTTCATCATGATTTACTGCTGGCTAGTGACCACTCCAATCCAAGGTATTGTTGTAGGCTTCATATTTATTGTAAGAAGAAATACAAGTTTTCTTGAATATTCTGTACAGAGGGAGATTTACTGTATCATCTCAGCCACTGAAATTTAGAATTACTTCTAAAATATGGGGTGCAGTCGCAATTATCATCAAGGTACTATTTCCTGGTGTTTTCATTTATACCTAATTGGAGTTGGTCAGTATGTCTATAGAGTTCTAGAGGCTAGTCACCAAAAAGTTTTGCATCTAAAATTTCTTTTCCTTTTTTGTTATATGATATTTAAAAGATAAATATGGCAAAATTTTTAGGAAGTAGCATTAGTAATATTTTGCAACTCTAAAATTTTTTATTGTGGTAAAATACACATAACATGAAAATTTACCATTTTAACCATTTTTAAGAGTATAGTTCAATAGCATGAATTCACATTGTTTTGTAAGCTTCAGCACCATCCATCTCCAGAACTTTTTTATCTTCCCAGATCAAAGCTCTGTATCAGTTAAACAACAACTCCTCATTTCTCTCTTACCCCAGTCTCTGGCAACCATGATTTTATTTTCTGCTGCTACTAAATCAACTACTAGTTATGTCATGTAGGTGGAACTATATAATATTTGTCTTTTTGTATCTGGTGTATTTCACTTAGCATAATGTCTTTTTTTTTTTTTAAAGATTTTATTTATTTATTTGAGACAGAGAGAATGAGAGAGAGAGAGCACATGAGGGGGGGGAGGGTCAGAGGGAGAAGCAGACCCCCTGCCGAGCAGGGAGCCTGATGCGGGACTCGATCCAGGGACTCCAGGATCATGACCTGAGCTGAAGGCAGTCGCTTAACCAACTGAGCCACCCAGGCGCCCTAGCATAATGTCTTTATCCATGTTGTAGCATGCATCAACATTTCCTTTTATAGGCTGAATAATGTTCCCTTGTATGTGTGGACCACATTTTGCTTATCTCTGCCCATTGATGGACACTTGGGTTGTTTCCACCTTTTAGCTGTTGTGAATAATGTTGCTGTGAACATTGGTATACAAATACCTGAGTCCCTGGTTTTAATTCTTTTGGGTATATACTCAGATGTGACATTGCTGGATGTATGGTAACTCTGTTTAATTTTTTGAGGAATGGCCATACTGATTTATGTATCAATGCAGAGATATAGGTGGGAAAAGTTATCTGAAAAGAAGGACAGTTATCTCAAGGTGGTAGAACTTCAATACTTTTTGTCTTTAGGCCTTTTTAATTTTTTAATTTTAATTTTTCCCCTTCTTGTCCTTACACTTTTTTAGATTACTAAAAACTTTAACCATGATACATGTTAGTATGTAATATAAAAATAAGTTAATTTTATTGTGGGGAACATGCATATTATGAAACAATAACACAATGTAAGGATGCTTGCAAATTCATCTCTACGGTGGGTCTCCTGATCTCAGAGGATTTCTGCATCCCCTAATGGCATGATGAAGCTGGCTTCGACACTTGCCTGGGTTTGGAGGCAAACCATGTACTACCTCAGTCTTAGCAGTGACACAGTACTCAAACATAAAGTGAGAACGTCTTGTACCGTGGGCAAAGGAACCAAGCTCTGCAGAATAGAATGATATTTAACACCGAGTGCACTCATAACACAACTCTCTGGTTCTAAAATGCCTGTGTAGGAGAACAGTTTTCAGGCACGAACCTGAGTGTTCTGCATGTGGCCCTGACGGCTCCACCTCATCTTTGCTGCTGGACCCTTCCATACTATCTTCCGGTCCAGCAGAGATCTACATGATGCTCACAAAAGGCTATTGGTCTTTCTCTAATAGTTCCTACCTAGATATACACTGCCACAGAACCTTTCTCTTCAGTGGATTCTTTTTCTGAAAGGGAAGTCAGCAGCTCAAAGGAAAGGTTAGCATCCAGAATATGTGAGACCTCCAAACGGCTTCTTAGTCATGATGTAGGTTTCTCTCTCACACAGCAAGAAAGCAA